GATGATTGACATCCATATCCATGTGTTATCTAATGATTGGCTGGCTCGATCGGTTGAATCGGAACCGATCAGAAGACATCATCGAATTCTCCTAGAAACTCGATAGGTAAAAATTCGGTCAAATCCAATAGAAGATCAGGCTGAACCACGGCAAACCATAGAAACTGGTGAAAACCGGGATATTACATTGCGTGGAGAAGAGAAATGGATGTGGAAGTGGGAGCCAGCATCATATGATTGGGCCATCGCAAAAGAAAATCAGATAAGGTGAATGAATCTTCTACTCTACCACGAGACTAGACTAGAAGAAGCCGATTGGGCAATTTCAAGAAAAGACCCTCAAGACGTGTTCGGTGTTTTGTTGATGAGAATTAACTCAATTAAGTACTCACCAGTGAATGGTCCAGCGGCAGCGTCTCTCACCAGTAAACCTTGAGGTCATAAGTTCGAGTCTCCGCTCCGCTGAATTCCTCCGCGCACTTAATATGTTCGAGCCGGGTTGGGGTGCCGGGCCCGAGCCGCAGGGAATTAGTCGGGTCTCGTAAGGATTGATCGGGACACCCCTGTGTCGAAAAAAAAAAAAAAAAGTACTCAGGTTAATGCTGGCCATGATGATTCAGGTTTGCGTCAGTCTTTGACTTGCTGAACGGGCTTCAAGATCATGCGCTCTTGTATCCTCACAAAGCCCCAAAATGATGGATGGGCCTTCAGCCTTTCACAAATTTATACTAGCACTACTTAGTTAGGAGAATTTGTCCTAGTCTTCGTTCTGAATTAATCCAAGTTCATTAAACTTTGAAGATCATAGATCAGCCCAAGATTTTTCTTTGATGTAATTGAACGGAGGAAGGCAAGGGGAAGTAGAGCTAGTTCATAAATTATACTAATGCATTTTGGTCGATTCTTTTATTAACGGCAGAATTTGAGGTAGATCATGCATTCATGTATAACCTCCGGATTATACCTAACCAAAGAAAAAGCATCATCATTAAAAATGGTCAATCAACCGGTTGGTTGCTACACTTTCAAGAGTGCTAATGTTGCGTCGCTTTACTTGCATTTCCTTGACAAGGGGACATCGCACAATAAGAAGAAAGTTAGCCGCAACCAACACAATTATGTGCCTTGCTTTTGTTACCAACACACTTTGTAGTGCAGAACTAAAATTATACTCTAGTCCATGATCTTTTTTATTGTTATATATGTTTTTTTAACCTCACTTCACCTTCAGCTGGAGTAAGAAACATAGTACGTAGTACTATATTACTAGTAGAATACATTTTGACTATGCGCATCTACTACATTTTGACTATGGCGCAAAAGGGGTGCTCCGTGTGACAAACTGCACAGTCAAGTCAAGATTAGGCATGTCAATGAGTCGGGTATTATTCAAATTCAATCCAGATCCAATATATATTGGGTAGGATTTAATTTCTCAAATCCAAACCCTACTCAGATCCAGACCCTATGAGAAAGTCGTGAATCTAGGTAGGATCTAATTTTCTAGAATTCATATCCAAATCCAGACTAATTAAATTAATTCTAAGGTCATTATTTTTTTCTTGGTCCTTCAGTGAAGAACAAGGAGTTGGAAATCGGAATCTAACCTTACACATTGTCAAAAGAATCCGTAACAATCATACTAGGTGCAAAAGGGTTTAGTATGATGCAATCATGGAGATATTCTTGATGTCTTGGCTTACATGCTAACTTAAGGCATATAAGTACTTACATACTGATAGATCAACTTTCAATAGACATGTACGTTGATCTGCCCTTAGTTTAAAGGTCAAGGAATATTGGTTGTAGCATATAACTATAATGCCAACAACCATGACTGCAATTGGAAGTCACTTTCATCTCTCTAATCCTCCATGGATTAGTTGCAGAGATAGATAAACCTGCCGGGGAATGGTAGAAAAACACCAAGAAGTTAAAAGGGTCTGCAGTATAACGCAACATAAGCTTACCTACCCTAACAAACCTGTTGGTTTTTTTTTTTATCTTATCCTTATTCAATACGTTTGAAATGGGGTCAACATCTGGGTCCGGACATTGACCCCTCAATCCCAACCCCAAGATTGTGTGTTTCTTGAAAATTTCTGGGTTATTTAGATCAAATAACTTATAGTAAAAGATTTTGTAGCCTGGTTCTTTTAAAATTGCTATATATATATATTCTTGTATAAGCCTTGAGCTTTTTGGGGAGGCAGATTGGCGGGTGGTGGGGATTGGAGGGGGTGGACCGGACTGTTGTCTCCACCAATTGCCAACAAACAAACCATCTTTAAGCTAGCTATAGATTGGTGTCTTCACAAGACATTGAGTTTAATTAATAATTTGATTGCAATAATATATGTTTGTCGTTTTGGCATGCCAAATTTATAATGACATGCAATGCTGGAGCATACAAAATTACAGAAGTGAGGGGTTTCTTGGAGGATTAGAGGAATTGCATGCTTTGGTCACGTAAAACAAACGCCAATAAGAATCTGCCAACATGCATGATGAACAAAAGATTAAATACTTCAGGAAATCATGTGGTATAATGACTTTCATCAGTGTAAAGCCTCACCTTAATTATACTTGATGATGCACTGCTACAATTAATAAATGTCTACATCCATGAGGAGAATACGTTTACCTTCACTAATATATACTTTTCCATTTTCTCGAATTTTTTTTTTAAAAAAAAAAACACTTTTTTTTTCATATGAAAGAACAATTTAACATGGAAAAGAAATCCTAAAGTTATATCTTAAATTAAGTCAAACCAAAAGTACTTGATGTCTAAGTGCAATTGGAAACTGTAATTTTTTCGTGGAGGACAGTAATAAATAAAGGTCTTGCAGAAGTCATAACAAATAATTCATCCCTAAACACTGTACAATACTTGGCCTTTTTGGTCAAGTTTAACTTTCTTTAAAAGGAGGAAAAGGCGATTCACCATGGCTTTTTATGGATAATAATTCCCAACTGGAAAGGACTTGGACGTAGGAAACTGAAACATTAATTGGGCCTTGATTATTTATTTTTTCTTTCAAAAAAAAAAGAGATGAACAAGCAATTTATTATTAATCACACAAAACTTTTCATTTCAATTAGTACTCCTAAAACAACATGGTAATTAATGGTAAAAGCCTTTTGTAGTTAACTCCATCGAAAGCTTAGACAACAGCAACAACTTTGTAGTGTCTCATGTCAATATTGCCATATTATATTTTCTGAGGTAATTTGCACAGTGTTAATTTTGTATATAAAACTTCCCTTTTAAAAAAAATGTGTAAAACTAAACTTAGAAAATAAACAAATTTCTTGTGCATTAAACACACCTCATTTTAGATAATCACAATTTGCATGCATTAAACACACCTCAAAGTTCTTGTGCATTTAGCAATTAAAGGCTCTAATCCTTGAAAACCCTTGAAGAGATCAAAATCAGGGTGCCTTCTCCGAGATAAAAATCTTGTATGTGCTCACATGTCCACGAAGCTAAACATATACTATTAGATGGTAATTAAGTATTTTATCCCATGACAAATTGAGCCAAGTATGCTTTCAGTGTTTTTGATTCACCAATCTAGAGATTAATTGTTAATTGGTAAAAGAAAAACTGAGGTCCAAATCTCATAACAGTAGCTGTCGAGCAATCACGTTACCACATGCATTACTTTCAAGTGTCATTTATTAGTTTTTCTAACTCAGTGCAAAACATGAATTAATGAATAAACTATCCTTTCAATAAAATCAAAACGTTAAATAGCTATTCATGAAGACGTAAGACCAACCAAAATGCTTCCTGATCATGACGAAGCATTTCATTCATATTATGGAGACAAAACAATGATCAGTTGCAGAGCTAGCTAATCACTGTCAATGTCTACTTTGTAAAAAGATGATTAAACAAAAGATTGGCTGTTCTTCACAGTCAAAATAAAACGCCAGAATTCCTCTGACTTTCAAGTTTTTTTTTTCTAGGCTTGATAATTCCACGTTCCAATAGTTCTCTTTTTTTTCTTTTTTTTTTGTGTGTTTGTGGACAAACTTGTATGGCTGCTAAAGACTTTTTGAAAAGATTTTCTATAGCCACTAGTGGGGACAGGAAATTTAGCTCACTTAAACTTCAAAAAATTCAGATATTCATTATATGTACTTCATTATTGCTTAAAGATATTAGGTCCAAAAATTAATGATAGACTAGAATCATAAAATAGATTAATAGTACATCAACATTTCACTTAAAAGAAAAAAAAAAAAAGAAAATCAGCGCAAGTATATGCTATAAAAGTTGGAGTGAAAAATCTAAGGCTTTGTTTGGATTGCCCGTTTCCGTCGAAAAATTACGTCGTTTTCCGTGATCACATTTCCCTATTACCTTTTTTCCTCACATATATCAAATCGCTACAGTAATTTTTCCATGAAAAATCACGGAAAATGCAATCCAAACACAACCTAAAGTTTTTTCCCACTCTCAAATTTTTATTATTAGAGTCTGATTAAAATGTATATACTAGTCGATCAATTTTATTTAAAGATAAAAATAGGAAAGTTAGAAGCTGAGAAGGGATTTGGGGCAGGGACGGTCATCAGTATGACCGTCCCTGCACGGTTCATGGTCCAGATTGGACCTCAAAAAAATGTGCGGCTCAGATAACAAGTGGTAACTCGATTTCCGCGCCAAGTGTGGGGCCCACCACTATCTGTTGTGAAAATACAACCTGTGGAAAAAAAATTACACGGTGAACAAAAGAAGTTACGCGCTGTTGATGAAGAGGAAATTTGCCAGCAACCGTCCCTGCCCCGAGTCCGCTGAGAAGGGACTTGAAGCCGTCGCAATCGCCTTCCATTTTTTGTTTTTGTTGGTTTCCCCGGGGTCCGTCTCTCCTCTCTTTCTCTCGCATCTCCTTAAAGTCTCTGTCAGTCAATAATATACACAACAGACCCCTTTCCAACTCTTCCATTTTTTATTTTCCACAAAGAAAAAGAAATCCAATAACTTTATTCTTTTCTCCACAGTGGAATTCAACTTTGTAACACTAATACAAAATTCCAATCTTTAAATTCGAACCAAAAAAAAAGGAAGAAAAGAACCTCATAAAGGCTTAAAGTTACCAATGTTTTACTCTACATTTGCCTTTACCTTCCTTGAATACTAGTGCACTAGCTGCTAGCACATTTTTTTGACCGCCATAAATTGTGGGCTTAAATCAAAATCATTGCTGCTTCTACTTTCTTGGGCAAGAAATTAAGGGTTCTTCAATCAACAACTCACATTATTTGCTGTAATGTACATTTATCTCATTATATGTCCTCAGCTGCTCGAAATTTAGCTGTATATTTGTATTTTGTAGCTGAAAGAGTATTTATTATTGCTCAGTTGCATATACTAAAGTATTAGTCCTACCCCATCTGCTTATTCATTGTGTAAATGTTGTCTTAGGTGTAAGTATTGTGTAAAGTTCCAATCTTTGTGGATATTTGCCGTCTTAGAAAAATCCCATTTGGTTTTCTGGTTTTGTGATGTGTAAGTTTTTAGGTGCATTGCATGTCAGATTGTTCCTCGTGTTTGATTTTGAAGTCCTGAGTTTTGGGAATTTGGAAGAGGGAAAAAGAGTCAGGAGTCTGATGAGAAATGAGGGGTAAATTTTGGGAAAGATGGGCTGTGTATTTGGTAAGCAGATTTCATCTTCAGGACCACCTCGTGGAGAGGTGGTGGTAGGTGGGAAGGGAAGGGAGAAAGAGGGGGAAAGAGATTTGGCTGTGTCATCAGAGAGGGGAGAGAAAGTTGGGGTGGTTGGTGGTGGGGAAGGAGGGGGAGGAGGAGGTAGTGGTGGTGAAGTTCAAAATGGTGGAGATCATGAGGAAAAGAAGGATGGAAGTGCTCGGCCACGTGGTGAGAGGAGGCGGTCTAGGCCGAATCCGAGGTTAAGTAATCCGCCTAAGCATATTCACGGAGAGCAAGTGGCCGCAGGATGGCCCTCGTGGCTCTCCGCGGTGGCTGGGGAGGCAATCAATGGGTGGACTCCTCGGCGGGCTGATACTTTTGAGAAACTTGACAAGGCAAGCTATGCTTACTTAATTTGGCAATCTTGATTTGTTTTTGGATTTAATGACTCATTATTTGCTTCTAATGAAAATGAAAATAAATGTCTGATTTGGTCATTGCATTTCTGCATGTTTTGTTTTTGTTGCTATTAGATTGGGCAAGGTACTTATAGCAATGTGTACAAAGCAAGAGATTCGATAACAGGGAAAATTGTGGCACTAAAAAAGGTGCGCTTTGATAATTTGGAGCCTGAGAGTGTGAGATTCATGGCTAGGGAAATTTTGATTTGCCGCCGTTTGGATCATCCTAATGTTGTGAAGTTGCAAGGGCTAGTGACCTCGAGGATGTCATGCAGTTTGTACCTTGTGTTTGATTACATGGACCATGATTTGGCAGGGCTGGCTGCAAGTCCAGGGATCAAGTTTACAGAACCTCAGGTACCATTCTTTATGTTTACTTGCTATCATTTGAAGCATTTAGCTGGAAGTGTTTGGACAGTGTTGCTTATTTTCGTTCGACGAATGATGAATACGTAGGTCAAGTGTTTCATGCATCAGCTACTGTCAGGGCTTGAACACTGCCATAACCGTCATGTATTACATCGTGACATTAAGGGGTCAAATCTTCTTATTGACGGTGGAGGAGTCTTAAAAATTGCTGATTTTGGGTTAGCTTCCTTCTTCGATCCTAATCACAAGCAACCCATGACTAGCCGGGTTGTTACTCTATGGTACAGACCGCCAGAACTTCTTCTTGGAGCTACGTACTATGGTGTAGGAGTGGACCTTTGGAGTGCTGGCTGCATTTTAGCAGAGTTATTGGCTGGGAAGCCCATAATGCCAGGTCGGACTGAGGTAAATTTTGACTTTCTTATTCAACTGCACATTAATTTGGTGTTCTTTCATGACAAAATAAGTTCATTGTAATGCTTGTTTTACTTCTCACCATAGTGATCGAGCACAATATTGCAGCTTCCATTGAAATTTTTATCTGGAAGGCTGGCAACTGAATCTTCCATGAATCTCTTGAATTTGAACTTCAAACCTAGCTTCCTATTCTAGAGAAAAGTGACTTACATAGAGAGTTCTTTGTTACATTGAATCTGAATGTAAGTTGTTGCGTCCTGATTGTTGGGTGTTGATTTGCACAGTTTCTGTACCTGTTGAATATTTGTCAGCTCACATGCAATGAGGTTTTCTTATAGCACGACAGTAAGCATAATAAATTCAACTTATATCAGATAGGGATCTTATTATCTTGACCGCATAAACAAGAATACTGGTACCGGTGCTATTTGCGTTCACCATAATTACCGTGATAGCTTCTGTGGCTAATTTGAAATTTGTTGCTAGAGTTATTGTGTTGCATTTTTTAGAGCATCACTGCTTTTTGGTAGCTAGCCTAAAAATTGCCGTAAATGAATTTATTGAATATGTTTGCAACAATTAGGTCGAACAGCTGCACAAGATATTCAAGCTATGTGGTTCACCTTCGGAAGAGTATTGGAAAAAGTCAAAACTACCACATGCAACCATATTCAAGCCACAACACTCATATAAACGATGTATAGCAGAAACATTTAAGGATTTCCCACCTTCGTCACTGCCGTTAATTGAGACTCTACTTGCAATTGATCCAGCTGAACGTCAAACTGCAACAGCTGCATTAAATAGAGAAGTGAGCTTCTATCTCTTTCTTATATTTCTTTGTTTATGTTTGCCATGATTTTTCATATTGTGGATCTTAAAGTCAAACCAGTTCTCTGGTCAGATTAGCTACTAATAGAAGTGTAATCTTGGAGCTATGAGCTTCACATGAAATAAAAATGTCAGATTTTCCTTTGAATAACAAGATACTACGCTTCTGTAACAACATAAATGAGTTGTATAATTTGACACAGTTGAAATGTAGGTACAAGTAGACTAGAATAACGTCCCTGTCCCCTCCCAAATCTGCGGACCACCAAAAGGACAATATATATATGTAAGTAGACCAGAATAACCTCCCTCCCCCCTCCCACGGCCCCAGACCACAAAAAGGACAATATGTGTGTGTGTGTGTGTGTGTGTGACAATAAAATAAGAAGCAAGAAATTCTTCAACTTCCTCAACACTACATTTTAGCCTAACCTTGTAGCCTTCCTACTTTTCTCAAGAATAATACAAGTAGGATCCTTTAATTCAAGGTTTGTAAGTTGATATATATTGTAACTTTTCAGCGAGGATCATGCTAACATTTATTTTGTGTGTGTGCGTGTCCTTTTTTTTCAGTTTTTCACGACTAAACCTTATGCTTGTGAGCCTTCCAGTCTTCCAAAATATCCACCAAGTAAAGAGATGGATGCTAAACGGCGGGATGAAGAAGCTAGAAGGTTTGAGCCTACTGAAGTTCCTGTTGTCTGCAAGTTTTTATTGAGTCTGCTGATATTACTATGGGCCCCTTCTTCCTAAACAAAAATTCATCCATGTGCATTTCTAGTTGTGCCTGTTTGCTTGCTTCAGTAATCTATAATCATGTCTGCGCAAAAGTATAATAATTACCTGATGTAATTAATACTATTATGAAAAAATTCAATATGCTAGTTGAATTCTTGGGATCCAATCTGGTGAGTAACATGAAGTTGGATGTATATTGTATGTTTGCTTTTAACATTTCTGAATGTTATATACATTACCTGCAATAACTTGTTCGAATTGTAGACTAAGAGCTGCTGGTCGAGTCAATGTCGATGGTACAAAGAAATCACGAATGCGTGATCGTGCAGTGAGGGCAATTCCTGCTCCGGAAGCCAATGCTGAGCTACAAGCCAACATTGATGTAAGTGCAGCAACAAACAAAACAGAATAAAATAAAATAATATAAAGACAGCACAAATAAGTCAATAACATATCATCTTTCAGCAATATCTTGTGTATTTTTATTTTCATTTTACTGTCATTCCGGCTTCAACAATTCAAATTTGAAATCTTTGCTAGTACTTTTGTGTTTGCGTCGCCTTCTGATCCCTCCCCCACCCTTCTTTTTGGTGGTGGATGAATATTGAAAATCATGTTTGCATCATGAAAGAGAGAAAAATAGCTGGAGTTCTTTGCTGATGTTTTGAACAATTACAGTGGGTGTCCTGATTTTCCTGAAACGTTGGAAACACCTTAGAAACATGTTGCCTAGACATATTGATCTGATTTTGACTTCCAGGAAAATCAAAGCAATTGTTTGATGACTTCAAAATGCTCCTTCACAACTCAAAATGACAAGCTTATTTTTCTGTCCCCCTGAAACAGAGACGGCGTCTAATTACACATGCAAATGCAAAGAGCAAGAGTGAAAAGTTTCCTCCACCACACCAAGATGGAACACTTGGTTATCGTCTCGGTTCTTCACATCACATTGATTCAGCCTTTGATACTTCTGATGTCCCATTCAGTTCTATGAACTTTTCTTATGAAAAGGAGCCAATACAAACGTGGTCAGGCCCACTGGGGGACCCTGCTACTAACGGTTCTGCTAGAAGAAAGTCAAAACCATCAAAGAAAGACTGGCGTACAAAAAAGAAAGAAAAGATGTAATAAAGTGTTAGTTTTCAAACTTGCTTGGAGGGAGAACAAAAGATTATGCAAAGAAAATTGCAGAATAGTGCCTTAAATCTAGGCTGTTAAATTGTCAAACTGCATACTGAGGTAAACTATCCTTCAATCCATCTTATTCTTTTGAACAGAGGAAAATTTCATCTAGTAATGTACATGTTTAATTTTTTTTTTCACTTCCATTAATGAATGCTATTTAGGTCAGTGAAATTAGTAAATGTTCTTCAAATGAGGGTTTAAATATTAGGTTTACTTGTTTACACCATCAATTCCAGGATTTTAGTTACTATTTTCAGATTGCTGCAGATTTTCCTTCCATCACCTCTTGTATATGTGACTCTGGTCTCCCTATCTCTGTGGACCATAAAAATCTTTGTAATTCTCGTCTTTTGAGTTTCAACAATCATAGTATCATCCCTTAGAAAGTTGAAGGTTATGATTCTTTTTGCTTGTTTAGTTTGTAAAAGTTAGTTTTTTGGCTCATGAATGCCATATTGGCCCTGTAATGGCATGAGCACTATAAAAATGTTGGGGCAGACTAAAGCTCATTCAATCAGTTTTTAAAGTGCTTCAGCAGGCAATAATTACACTCCAATGTGCTGGTCTTTCTTCAGTCGCCAACTTGAATTTAGTTGGTGATGAATATGAGCCACGGTTCCGTATACCGATTGAAACTGCCTTACTTTAGTCTCTTTCTGTGAAGACTTGTGTACAACGAGCCAACATAGATGTAACAACAACTTTGAATAGCATTATGACTCTGCTCAGTTCTTTTCCACCAGAATTTGTGGTGAATTTCCAAGTATTCATATAGAAACTTTGAGTAATGCATAATAAATAAGCCATTGATGTATCCAAATAAGGGAAAAAAAAGGGTTAAAAACAAAAAAACCTCCTGTGGTATACTTAATACATAGAAAAATCTCTCGTGGTTTCAAAACATACAAAAAGACACCTTATATTTTAAATTAAATTGTAAATTAATAGAATTCGTTAAATTTAACGAAAATGACGGTCTCAGCCGTTAAACTTATCAGATTCCGTTAAGTTTACCGTTAAATTTATCGAATTCTGTTAAGTTTTCCGTTAAATTTATCGGATTCCGTTAAATTTAACGAATTCTGTTAGTTTATAATTTAGTTCAAAATATGAGGTGTCGTTTTATATGTTTTGAAACCACGAGGAGTTTTTCTATGTATTAGATGTACCACGTACGACTTTTTTGTTTTTAACCAAAAAAAAAATGTTGTTCCACGTCTTGGGGTGAACTATAAAGCAAGCAAAACCTATCATTTAGCTATTTTCCCATCAATTTTGTCACATGGAGTCTTGATTCCACCCCCAGTTACCCCTGTCTTCACTATAATGACACAGGTGTCGATTTGTCAGCTCTGACCGAGTAGACTCTAGACGAGTAATGTTGTAAGTTCATCTGTGTTGGTAAGTTGAAGAAAGGTAGGTGTCCATGGGAAAAACAGGCAGAAGTTGAAAGGCAGGTAAATTAGTAGTTGAGCATGCTTGAAATTTGGCAAAACAAAGTGACTCAGAAGCCTTTAACTTCCAAATGCATACAAAGCTACGAGCACCACCAGTGATTCTTGCATGAGCTAAAAAGCTCCATAACTCGTACCATTCAACATACTTGTTGGACAACCTTTTCCATTTCCAGCTTCCAGCTAGCTCTGAGTTCTGTAAAGAAAACACTGAACTGACCATTGCAAATTAGGGGCTGCAACCTTTGAGAGAAAAACAGTAGGATGAGTCCACCAGGCGGCCCTCCTCCGTCAGCTGGCCCGGGGTCGTCTTCTGGTGGCTTTGTTGGGCAGTTGTGCAATGTGGTCTCTTCTTGGTCAGTCCTCTCCCAATTCTTCATTTTTCCAAAATGTTTTACTTTGAGACCTAACTCTTACAATGCTGCTAAAACTGCTAGGAAACTTCAAATTTCTTGTCATGATTTAATTGAAATCTTATTTGCTCCAAAATGCTCCCAGCTAATTTGAGTGCACGAAGTTAAACTAATTGGGAAGGGTGCCCGAGAAATATTAGTATTATATTTAGATAGATACAGTAATATTCGGAATAATTATTATAGTATTTTTTTATGATATGATGTATGTCACATAAAAAAAATAGTTGTGAACATGCAAAAAAAAAAAAAAGAATTAAAAAATGTGTTAATGATACAAGTATAACGATATTTGTCAGTTTTTTAATATCCAAACACACTTATTTCCCAACACTAGCAAATTCTTTTGGTGTTCCTCCAAGAAATTACTAATGACGTTTTTTCAAATTTAAGGGTTTCAAATGTGAATTTTCATCCAAAAATCTAAATATTTCTAGACAAAAAAAAATGAAAAGTGAATAAACCTTCCAGAATAGCACCTTGCGCTAGTAAATGGCCTCTGATTTTTATACTGTAAATTTTTATTTTTTATTTTTCCTGCCCATGCAGTTTCTACATCTTGTGCTGCTGTTGGCTACTGAAAGAGTGTTTTGGAAGCCCAACTGGAGATCCTGGGCCTCCATCCAGCCCATCTTTCGTACCTAGCCCTCCTCCTCCCCCTCCTCCTCCTCCACCACCACCACCACCTCCTCCTCCTCCTCCTCCTCCTCCTCCTCCTCCTCCTCCCCCTCCAGGGCCTCCTTATGGTCCACCACTTGGTCCTCCAGGACCTTATGCGCCCCCTGGGCCCGGTGGACCTCCCGCTGGCCCTCCAAGATGGTGAAGACTTGATGATGACGGCTTCTAATGGTTCTTCTGACCGTTGGTGAAATGTCCAATGGAGTCATATAATCACACCCATGATTGGATAGGGTATTATTTGAAATATTATTTGGAATAATTACTGTAGCTCTTTTTTGTGATGTGATGTATGTGAGATAAAAAGGTGATTGGGAATATAAAAAAATGGGTTGAAAAATGTGTTTATGATGCAAGCGAAATATTATTTAGGATAAGTTTTGTATCCAAACACTCCATAATATGTTTCGTAGCATAAGAAACGACGTGGCATTAAACTAAACAGATGACTTGGACCGAAAGATTAGAAATAACATTACTCATAATGTAATCAAATAGTTTGTCTTACTTTCCATTTTAAAATGTCTTAAAATAATTGTCCTATTTAGAAAGTTAAAACTCTTTCTGATCTCTTTTTTGGATATAATTGTCCCTATTTTTAATCAAATGCATCTTACATTCAAGTTCAAATTTGAATTTTGAGGGGTAAGATTGGAAAAAAAAAAGAAAGAAAAGTCCAAACATTACAATTAAAGCACTGATAAAATGTTAAAATTCCCAAAATATGACCAAAATTTTGAGATGGAGGGAGTATTAGTATTATAGTTATAATAGCTAGCAATGAAAAGGGAAAAAAAAGAGTAAAAATAAATTCAGTGTTGCCAATGGGTTCTTTTTTTTTTTTTTTTGTCAATCGTTATCCCAACTCTTACTCCTATTCTATCCTAATCTAACTAGGAGGAGATCCAACTGGACCTATGGACGACCAACGAAAACAGAATCATCACCAGACCAGATAAGTGTTGGATTTTTTAAAGAATCACAAATGTGACAAATTGGTGGGAGGCAAGAGTTCGCCTGGCCACCGGCCTAAGGCTGCTGGTTGCCAATGGGTTCATTTGATTATGCGTCAAACTCAATAATATTATCGCAGCATTTATATTTGACTTGGGCTTTCCTCCAGACAAGCACTAGTGGTTTCACTTCATTTTTATATATTATATATTATATATTGTCATCCATCTCCATTTTCCACGTATACTATAATAGACGTTTGGATAAAGGAAGGATGAATTGCTTGCCGTACCAGCAACCACTTGACAAGTTGATATGGCCGGCGCCGGAATACAAAACTGGCACTTTGCCATCCCAAAGAGGCAAACACTATCCATTGATTTGGCTCGTTCCCGGAGGAAAATCAATTATACAATTGGTTGGCAGGCCGGAACGATGTTCTAAGGGCACTTGGCCATCCCAAAGAGGCAAATACTATCACATTTCATTTGAACTGAGAGATTTGACCAATGTTTTGAAATCCTTTCAAAATAGATCTGTTAAATCGTTTAAAAAATTTGAGAGTTGTTTGAATTTGTGATTCATCAATTATTTTACTATTTAGACATTTTTAAATAATTAGTAGATTGCATATTTAATTATCCCTTCACTAATTCCAACAATTTACAAGGGCCATTCATTCTTTCTAAAGTATGGTGTACCTCCATTCACATCCTCCCTCCCCACACCAAAAAAAGTAATGATAGAGTTAATTACACATTTAATGAGCATATATTGTTGCTTTGCTCCTCCACAATTGACATACATATGTTCTTTTTTTCTCCATAATTGACCCACATTTTTTTTTTATCAACCGGCAACTTCTATACATTAACTCTACTCCTACTCTAACTTATCTAAAAAAGGACCTAACTAGATTAAGGGAGATTAAAGGAATTGATTTCTATTTCTGAATCAAAGAGGTGCACTGCTACACGTTCTTTGAATTTTACTACAAATGCAGAAATTTGAATCACTCGTATTCACCTACTACGCCTACACTTAATTTTAAGTTTCGCGTTCGACCCACAAACATACTTGCCTACAAAATGCTGCCAGGCCGAGCCAAATTTGTGCAAAACGAGAAACTTTATAAAAGAGTGATTATTAGCAGGCGCTTATTCTAGGAGAAATTCATTAACCACTCTACTTCCTATTGATCATTTGGAGCTAGGAGAAATTCATTAACTGCTCTACTTTTGATTGATCATTTGAAGCTTCCAACCTGGTTCCAACATGGATTCATGGTACATCGAATTTGGAACAAGCAATGCAAGCAATGACACGTCATACAGTAACATTATCCACAGTCCAATCATGAAGCCATGATACTGATAATGGCAGTTATCATCATCATCATTATTATTGTGGCAGTGTTATTTTCCAATTGGCAGCTAGACTTGGAAGCCCATGTCTTATTACGTGGCGGGGCTATCAATGGTCAGATCCTTCAGGCGAAGAATCTACTGAAAACAGTCGTACGGATACAGGAGGGATCCACAGAGTCATGTCTGGCATGGAAATGAGTCAGCTTATCCCATAAATCCTAGCCAACTGTCAGGCCAACTGTGATGGTTCCTTTATTTAATTATTATGCATAGAATAAAGAAGATGGCTAAAGCAAATAAATAATGCAATGGTCGTTAAATTGGTTGGCATAAGTTGGCTTTGGATCCTTACTCTTTTAATTTTTTTAATTATTATTATTTTTAAAATCAGCAGTGTCTTTTTCTTATCCACCAAAAAAAAAAAAAAAGAAAAAAGAATCCTGCAGTCCTCACACGTTTTGATTTGAGAGTGTCATCAAGTGGTATATTCTGTCTTGACACCAGAATACAATTGCTTAAAGAATTGCCAAAGAAAAATACAATTGCTCAAGTACAAATGTCCTTTGTTTATTGAATATCTAGGGAAATTAAATGCAAAGCTAAATATGTAAATCTTTTTTTTAGGATGGTGCGGACTTTCTTATATTTGGAAATTGAATTTAGCTACTACTCCTTCTTTTTATGGTGAAAAGATTTTGTTTCTCCTTATTAATTAACAATGAAAATCCCCCCCCCCCCCAAAAAAATCGGAATAACTTTTTTTTTTAATTTTCAGATGTGTTCAAGTTTCATCAATGCACCATTTTTTTAAACATTTTATGAAGGAGTTTTAAGTAAGCAATGTGTAAAAGATGACCAAGATAATTAATTTCACAATGGATTGTGCTACATATTGGAAGGTGACAAATTCAACTATATGATACTAATGCATAAAATCTAGAACAAAGATGAGTAAATACTTTGGTTGAATTCCAACTAGTTGATTGTTCTTTGTTGGAAGGTCAATAAAATCACTTTCAAATCTTTAACTTTTTCTATCCGTTTAATTTATTTTGTACAAATTCTTTCTTTATCTTCAATTAGTTTTTCTTTAACAAGCAGTTGAACGGACAATATATAGTCAACATGAGGAATTAAACAAGTTTGATAATACTTAGGAATAAAACTGAGATTATAGGGACATTAAAAAAGAGAAAAGATGAGAAAATTACACAAAAAAGCAAAAAAAAAAAAAAGGAAAATTGAAAAAAGAGCTGAAGCGAAATTTCCAAATTTGTGGGGTGTAGGAAATTTATGTGGTGGCCGTTTGTTTCTGCCCAAGCAAAACACGTGTTCCATTTTTCTTCTTTTTTTCCTTCAAAAGAAATAGAGAAATGGCCCACTTATCTACTTTACTTTTCTTTTTTCTTCGTTATCTCCTTTTCGTCATCTCCTCTATATATTGATTACGCTCCCATCAATTGATACTCCTGAATTCCTTCCATTTTTCACACAATTCAAACATTCCCAGAAGACCCTTTTGCTTGATCCTGAAAATTGTCAGAAGTAATTATCAAAACCACCATTTCTTTCAGAATTTCTGGCCTTCTAGCTCCAATTTTACCCATAAAAATCAACATCTTTTTTTTTTTCCTGTCAGTTTTTCTTGCTTGTATAATTTCTGAATAGCTTAAATTATCAGGTTTACTTATCTATAAGCAGCTTTTACACATAAATATGGAGGTTTCAGTGATTGGAAGCTCTCAGGTTAACAATCTTGGCAGGGTGGATTTGAGATATAGAGAGGTTGGCTTATGTAGTTTTTCTAAAAATTTGAACTTTGCTAAGATTTCTTCACAGAAATATTCAGGATTATTTGTTGGTCAAAGCAGCATCTCGTGGCCTTCAAAATATTTGTTCCCTTTAATTGTCAAAGCTTCTGCTACTGCTCAAACTGAAGCTGCTGTTACATCCGAGAAAGCTTCTGGGACGAGAAGATCTGAAGTTGTAAGTTTTTCTTTTCTTTTTTAATTTTATCAGCGTATTCTTTGGTTTTTACCTTGGTTATGATTGAGGTTAAAGTTTGGGTCTTTGACTTTTCCCCTGGTTTATGATTGGAGTAGCTTGCTCTTGTTCTTCCATTTCTGGATTTGAAGTAATTATTTGATTTTTTTGCCCGGTTAAAATTTAGCGTTTTTGTGATTGTTTTATTTTACGGTGATTGTCCTCCCTTTTTCTTAAAATAGTTTCCAATTTCAGACAAAATTTTCTGAAAATTTTAAGTGTTAGTAGGACATATTAGTCTGGAAAAGGTGATGCTTTGACTGTCCAAAGCCAAACAAAACACATTGAACATTTAATAACGAAGGAAGAAATAGCACTTGTATTCTATTTTGTGCTGTATGTTTTCAGGCTGATCTACTACTGACGGAAGGAAATCGGAAATACTAAAACATGGAGGAATTTTGCCTTCGTTTCAAGCATGAAGGTTTAGGAAAATGTCTACCTTTGGTCCTGGAATCACTCCTCATTTTGAAGTTTCCCTGTTTGTTGGATGTGAAATGGAGAAGTACTTAAGTTCGTCTGCATCTTGGATTTTGAATTTTAGGCAGATATACATCCTAGAGTTTGCGAATTTTTCCATGTAAATTAAACTGGTGGTTTTTGGTAACATTAGTTTAATACCGTTTAGAGACAAAATAAACAATAGATCTCACTTTTTGTTCGGTTGCAAATTACTAGATTTCTTGTTCGGTCTCTGGTGCAAGGTTTTCTGACGCACGAGTCAGTTGACATGCCTCTTATTATTTAGACAAACACGCTATAGTTAAGTTCGTGATGATTTTTTCCCTCAGATGTTGTCTTAATTTGTCAATTACTCAATTAGCAGCACAGCTTTGAGTTGATCAAAGTTGCCATTTTAGTATTTGGTTTTCCCAATATTTTTTCTGTGGCTGAGTATTCATGAGTGTTGTTAATACTGAACTTTATGGTTAGAACATACATGATATTTTACTAGCTTTAAATGGATAAGCTCATCCAGTTGTGTAATTCGTTTATGAAAATGTGCAGGACAACAACTTGATGTTGTATGTTGGCTTGCCATTGGATGCAGTGTCAAGCACTAATACGATTAATCATGCACGAGCAATTGCTGCTGGATTAAAAGCTCTGAAGTTATTGGGTGTTGATGGAGTAGAGCTCCCCATCTGGTGGGGTATTGCTGAGAAAGAAGCTAGGGGGCAGTACAATTGGGCAGGATATCTTTCTGTTGCAGAGATGGTCCAAAAGATGGGCCTTAAGCTTCATGTTTCACTTTGTTTCCATGCCTGCAAAGAATCCCGTGTTCCACTGCCTGAATGGGTCTCTCAGATTGGTGAATCTCAACCTGATATTTACTTCACTGATCGTTCAGGACAGCGCTGCAAAGATTGTTTATCACTCAGTGTGGATGATCTTCCTATTTTTGATGGAAAGACTCCAATTCAAGTTTACAAAGAGTTTTGTGAGAACTTCAAGACTTCATTCTCATCATTTATGGGTTCTACAATAACGGTAAATAGCAATCTTAGAGTGCAGTTATGCAGTTAATACTTGTACACTGTCCCTAATCTGGTCTTTTGGGATATTTTATAGGGAATATCAATTGGTCTTGGACCAGATGGTGAACTTCGATATCCTTCTTACCATAAACCGGCCAAAAGTCAAGGAGCTGGAGAATTCCAGTGCTACGACAAAAACATGCTGAGCCATCTCAAGCAGCATGCAGAAGCATCTGGGAACCCTCTTTGGGGACTTAGTGGTCCCCATGATGCACCGAGCTCTAACGAATTGGCAACCTCTAGTGGCTTTTTAAAGGAGCATGGAGGTTCATGGGAGTCACAATATGGTGATTTTTTCCTTTCCTGGTATGCAGGCCAGCTAATTTCTCATGGAGATCGCCTGCTTTCCCTTGCTTCCTCAACTTTTAGCGATGTCCCAATCGCAGTTTCTGGAAAGGTTCCACTAATGCATTCATGGTATCAAACCCGTTCTCACCCAGTGGAGCTAATGGCTGGAATCTATAATACAGTGAATAGAGATGGATATGAAGGCATCATAGAAGTGTTCTCAAGAAATTCATGCAAGGCTATCCTGCCTGGAATAGACTTGGCAGATGAGGACCAGCCAAAGGAAACCCGGTCAAGTCCAGAGTCATTACTTGAACAAATCATATTCTCTTGCAGAAAGTATGGAATTGAGATATCTGGCCAAAATGAAAGGATTTCAGGTTCTCCTAGTGGTTTCCAACAGATCAAGAAAAACTTGACAGGTGAAAATGCAGTAGACTTGTTTACGTATCAAAGAATGGGGGCTAGTTTCTTTTCTCCAGAACATTTTCCTTCATTCACAGCGTTTGTCCGAGATCTAAGGCAGCCACAATTGCATTCAGATGATTTGCCGGTTGAAAAAGTTGATTCTGCAGAATCTCTTCCTGAAAAGAATGTCCAAATGCAGGCTGCTTAGAGTAGTGATATTTTATGTATATATAGTAGTTAGACACCCCGTTTAAGTCGAGAATGTAATTTTAATACATCGGATAGAACTATGGTTCGGATCTTCTGAAACTGTCCTGAACTTTAATAGATATCTGGTTATTTTGCTGTACTACTTTTGTTACTTTCCAGGAATACAATAATATTTCCCCCTTTTTTTTTGTGAACTTCCTTTAGTTTGATGTCAGGAAGCCAAAAATTTCATCCGTCTGATTAAGTGGAGATTGGAGCTACAAGCATTTGAAGATGTTTAGGATGGTTGCACCGTCTATCTTCTATTGGCGTACTGCAGACTTCTAGACATTATGCTCAGTTAAGAATTCATATCTAGACAAACATATAACTCTCCCATCTTCAGTTGCTCACATGGTAGGGTACTTATTCAATGGCTCGTGATTAAGTTTTTAAGTTTCTTGCTTATCTGCATCTGCTAGGTCGATGGATGTACATCATCAGCTTCAATTATCAAAATGGCATCATGCTGTATCCCCGAATGCGACATTCTTCGTCTTGGGGTGTGCAAGTCTTTTCCGTTTTGATCCTTGAGCAGGGCAGGGGAATTAGGCCTAAGCGCTACTATCAGCTGCTGTCGCCCGTCGATCAAATCCCTGCTGTTAGCTCAGTTAGCTGAAAGGGAGGTCAAAAAATATTTGGCTTGTCTTGATTTTTGAATTTCTTGCACATATGCGATGGAAAGTTGTCGAGATAGCACTGACCTCTCTTCATCGATGGTAGATCGTCAAGAGATATAGCACTGATGGTGATATTTCGCCTACTCCCTAAAGGGTCTTCCTTCATCATTGTCAAGAAAGTTTGGTTCTCACTGTCGCCCCTTGTCTGTTCCTTCCCCCTTCTACGAACAAACAAAAATAACCGAAGGAAAACTGGAGAAGTTTCCCTAGTATCCTTCATCACGTTTCCTAACAACAAAGAAAAACTTGACTACGATGACTTCGACCTATTTTAGAATCTAGCTAAGCTGGTATTTGTCATTTCTCTGATGAAGATGAAAGCTGCGATTTGTATAGAAGGTGGCGGGCGGTAAAATAAAGATGGGTTGGCCTTTGTTTCCAACGTACCATCTGCTCCCAAGTGACACAAGGAACGTCATCCTTTTGTTCATCCCTGACTGACTTTACAAATATTATGCAATTAGTTTCGCTTTCAAACGAAGTAGAAAAGCAACAATACCAGCCAAAACTGGGAATTCTGCACCGACAAGAACTGAGCAAAGCAAGATGATCTCGACATACTACAAATGTTGTACTCAAAAAAAGCAAAGGTTTGCATTCGATTCTTGTCTACCCTTCTGTTGAATTTTACCAATACACTGGGAAAAAATAAGAATAAAATGAAAATAAAAAGGAATTTGTATCTGAAGAATCCCAGGTCGGGGAAGGGATAGCCACAACAATCATAGAAGACTTGGTAGAAATCGATATGCGTCAATCAGAAAAACTGAATAGCCTTAACAACAGTGTGGAGGTACTCCACGAAAAGAAATCCATAAATCTTTAGCTAGAATATTATACGCAACAGAAACCATTTAGACACATCAAACAGCAAAGATGAGATTGAAGAAAAAAGAAATAGCTATTCTTTTTGAATAACTGTGACTAAACAGGCAAAGGGAACACTAATGCTCTGTACAATCTGGGGAATAGCATCCAGAGTTAATTATGTTACATTGTATGTGTATTACTCCAGAAATATACTTGGTATTATGAAAAGACAAGCATGCCTTAGACTGTAAGCAGGTCACACAGAATACACAAGGATAATTATCAAACTCCTCTTCATTCACACGCAATCTTTGTGTCAAAGCTGCTAAGGCAGATGGCAAACGCTTGAAAAGCCGAGATTGGATACCTATAATCCATTGTGAATACATCCTTTCCTACTTTGCCAAACTGGAGGATGACTTTCTCGTGTTCTGGCCCGGGTTGGCCGTTCTCAGGTGAAGCTACCAACTGAAAGTTCTTGACTGAAGCGACTGTCACCCGTCCATGGAAGTTCAAACACCAGCACTGGAGTTGTTCATGCCATCTTGGAGCCTTGTTTCTCAAAACTAAGGATCCCTCTGTCGGATCATCTGAAGGGCTAGAAACGGATTTCTCAAACTTGCTTGATTTTGACCGGAATAATGGGAAGTAATCAGCACTGCCAGTGGGTAAATCGATCTGTGTTGGGGCCACACCTCCAGGCTTAATAGAAGATGCTGGGATCTGGTCCATGACGCAGTGCATTCTTCTTGGACCCCTACTTTTGTATGATAAAAAGAAAAAAAATCGTTATCAGAGCACTCGTGAGTGAAATAAATATATGATATTATGAGTCAACTCGAGATATAAAACCTTCAGTCTTACCGAGCTCCCAGCACGTTTAATTCATAAGAAATGTGAGCGACAGGATAGTTGCCTGGAGGGATTCTAGCAGACACTTGCTTTGTCCCTACCAGCCTAGTGGATCGGCTTTTTGCCATTCTATTGCCAGCATGGGGAAGAAGTGCATCATATACAACAAACTTCGTTCCCAGAAAATTTGACCTTGCACAAAGCAAAACATGTTGATGAGCTCCTATTGAAGCAGAATATATTACCAGCCAAAAGGAAGATGACCAAGCAGATTGCACGCACCTCAATTTTCCTATGTAAGTTTTGCTTCCTTTAGACATGTCATCTGTGTTTAGAGAGACGATGTAATCAGTGCAGGTAGGTCGCCTACATCTGCGGGCAGCAAGAAGAAACTTCCCATCATCAGCCAATGCTGCAAGAAAGACCAAGTAAAGCAAAATGTAAATACTCGCAACCCTTGCTTAAAAGTGCTCTTAGTTCAGAAAATATTATGAATATTTCATCACCAAACACATTTAAGGATAGGCAATTGCTCAACTGAGTTAAAAGGGCACTTCATTTAGGAAATGCTAACTGAAGCACTTCCTTCTCCAATTACATGTTGTGAAGGACAAGGAAATTAATTCAAAATGCAAAGTACAATGGTCATATACAAGTTTTGAGATGAGAATTATTACCCTGACTTAAACTCAGGTAAAGATGATACGTTTGCGAAGACTGATTCCTTTTTATGAAGCACTGCAGGAGAGTATCTCTCGGACCAGGCTGCAAAGAAACTAAATTTCTATGAATGTGCTATTACGTCGAAGAAGATTGTTTCATAATGCACTTCTCAAGTAATGGATGAACTGGGGAAGAGTTTCACTGTAAATCTGAATAGAGATAAACATTTTCTGACAACTATAAGGCAAAACGTGATTTGGTTCTGAATAATGAACCTAGAGCACAAAAGTGACATCACTTAGAAGCATTGACTCAGCAATGAGGCTGCTAAAAGGAAATTTTTTCCTCCTTTAGCTTCCATTATTTTGATAATATCACTGATCATTCATCAAAAGCCACAGGCATATCAGCATACTCTTTCTAAGATGGCCTATCTGAACCTTCACTCAGTTATTTACTTTTATATTTTGAAAGCTATGAAAAAGTCAATACTTTCTTAATGTTCTTCCAGCACCAAAAAAAAGACAGCTATTCAGTCGGCGCAGCCGGGGTGATGCACGGTTGTAAAATTCCCATACATGAAGCAAAAACTTGAGAGGCGCACAAATAGTGGAATATAGCCGGCAACTTTTAGAGGAACTTTTACATCACCATCACTTAAATAACCCATGGCTAGCAAACAAAACGAATTATATTAAAATCATCATCCTTTCGTGCTTTGTCCCAGAATGGTTTTAACTTCTTACTCTTTATTCTTTCCCCTGATAAGATTCTTCCCACCCGCTCTTTACATGAAGTGTCCACTTATAAGAAAAGCTCCACTCTTGAATCCATTAAGACATTAACACTTCATACGCATACACCCAAAATCCACCTAAAATCCTTCCAATATACCAAATATCAAATAAAACTCAGTGGTAAAGGGCCTTTGCTCCTCTCCTTATCGTCTTTTCTTATCGTCCTGTCTTAGAATCAAGGTCCAATTTCGGCTGTCGCCGTCGGCCTGTCTGTTTCTTCTTCCCCGCGCCTCCCCTTCGACCCCAAAAAATTAGACAAAAAAAAAAAAGCCAGATTTTCTATACTTGGAATACAAAACACTAACTAGTAACTACCACCACCATACACAAAACAAGATAACAAGCACGACGAATTCACAACTTTCACACACAAACAATCACCTGAAAAGTATGAGCCATGAGAACTAAAAACGAAGAAAACCCCATCAACCAATAAACTGTAAAAAGAAAAAAACAGGTAAGTATCCAGACCTGTTTAACAGATATAGGAAAAGTAATCCTCCCAGAAACTTGAGGAGTTTTTACCACCTCCTTCATAATCTCCCTCCAGCCCCTACACACTCCTGCACATGCCACCACGTTTTTCCTCGAAGGCCATTTGTCTTCAGATTCTTCAATCCTAATTAATACCTCCCTCAACAGCTCTGATGGCATATTAGCCCAACAGCTCTGGCTCGACCTTTCATCCACTTCAGCCTCCCCTGCCACAGAGCTGTCTTGGACAACCTTAGGTGACCTCAATCTCAACTTCATCGTCAACAAAGTCAAATCTTTCTGGGAATCAGGAGGGAAAAAAACTAATTTACAATGTGGGTTCAGTCTAGGTATAATTCACAATGGATAAAAACTGGTTTTAGCACTGAAAAATCGAAACTTGAGAAGATTGGCGATGGGAATTAAGCTGGTTTGAGAGACATGTTGAAGGGTTGTTTAGGGGAAAGAAAAACAGGAACTTTTTTTTAATGGGCTTTTTCTGGATAAATATGCGGGCTTCAGTTACAATTACAGATAAAGTATCTAATTAATTGCCAAGTGAAGGAGAGATATAATGAATTGTTTTCAGTCATAAAAAGAGAACTAGACAAGGCCAGAAGGGGCGAAGAGAACGATGAACAATATAGAAGCCAGCAGTAAACAAGAAATTAAACAGGGAGATTGAGAGAGATGTGCCAGCTACAAAGGGAAGCTTGCAGTTGTATTTATGAGAGTGAGTGCTAGTGGATGGAGAGAGATAAAATCATTTAAGGTCGAGGGTCCACAAACTTGTCTGATTGGACAAAGCCGTGCTGTATTTTTTTGTCAAAAAAAAAAAAACTGTGCTGCATTTTATTTATTTATTTTTGTGTATCTTAT